TTACACAATGGAGTTCTACTCAGTGGTAAAGGACAAAATCATGAAATTTACAGGTAAATGGATAGAACTAGAAACATATTAAGTGAAATAACATAGACTCAGAAAAACAGTGTATGTTCTCCCTCATATGTAGATCCTAGCAACAAATCCTTATATGTGAGTATGTAGCCAGATACAACTTTAGGAAGCAGGATAATGAAAAGGAACCAGGCAGGTAAAGGAAAAGAAAGAACCTGAGAGAGGGAAAAACAGTAGGAGGCAGGTGTTACTAGGGAAGAAATGGATAAAAATAGGAGTATTTAAATGAGAGGGAGGAGGGAGCATTATATAAGTAATCTTGGGGATAAAGGCAGAGTAGCTCAAGAGAGGTGGGACCATAGGAGACTGGTGTTATCAAGGGAAAAATGGGGACACAAAATGGGGAAGCCATATTAGAGAGAGAGAGAGAGAGAGAGAGAGAGAGAGAGAGAAGAGAGAAGAGAGAGAGCATAATGCCTAGCTAGTTTAAAAAAATGAGAGGGAATAATATTAGTCCAACAACCTAATGAAAAATTACACATAGAATATCTCTACATGAGTCTATGTGTATAGCTAAAGGCTACATAACAAGGAACAGTGCCAGACAGGAGAAACCTTCCTTTGAGTTGTTGGCCAGGGTAGTCCAAGAGACTCCCAAAATTACACTGGCTATTGCCACAGCCCTTGATGGCCTCACAGAACTTGAAGGTAAGACCCTACTGCTGAAAACAAACTTTGGACACAGGGTTTAGGGAAATGGATCTGGAACTGACCTGGAAGCCACTTCCCCTGAAGGCTAGCTCTCATAGCTTTGGAGAGCACTATGAAGGTGCCATGGGAAAACATCAATCGATGGTCCAGCACCAGCTTCAAGACCAAATATCCACATCAGTGGCCAGCACACCATATGACATTGGTGCAGTAGTAGCACTTTTATCTTGGGAGCAATCAACAGCTACCTAATTGGACTAAAAGCCCACTCAATGGGAGGAAACTCAAGTGTGGTACTGTAAACATAACCAAATACACATGGCTAGAGAGGTCATAGATCTTAGAGAAAACCTCAAGGCTGTCACATTCCTAGACTAATTTCTTACTATGAACAAAATATGTACCCTTATATTTATAAATATCCCAGTCACCACTCATCAAGAAACTTCTTTTGCACCAGACAGAGACTATTACCAAGTACCACAACTGGTCACACATAGACATTGTATATGAATTGCCCAGGCCTAAGTGACACATCTACAATGCAACCTCTGCACCTAAGGGTCACAGAACATAGAACAGGGGTAAAGGAGACACTACTGAATCTCTCAGTTCTCATTAATGAAGCTCCCTCATGCAACAGAGGGCCTGGAGCACAAAAGGTCACAAATGGCCAAAGCGTAGAGATTAAGAGTCTGCAGAATGCTGATTCTTGGACAGGACTCCTATATTAAACTTCACCCACTCAGAGCCCAGGAAGCATTGTTGAAGAGGTAGTAGAAAGATTGTAAGAGCCTGGGAGGAGGTGCACGACCATATGGAAATAGTCCTATTAGATTCTGAGACCCTGCTCATATGAATCTACAGCGGTGGTGTCAGCATACACAAGTCCAATATAAACTCAAGCAGACAAAAACCCAGTATAGAACTGGGGAAATGAACAGCAGACCCCAATCTTAGCTGAAGAAATATTTGCAACTGATTACGGCTAGGTGTTAAGTGAGGGACTTTAGATAAGCTGACTAGACCTCGGTAGATGAATTTGCACTGAGGAACATCTGGGGACAAATTTGTCTCAATAGACCTTAACACAAATGACAGAATCTATAAATTCCAGTGGCGGGGGGCGGGGGTGCTATGGGAAGGTGCCACTGAGGACAAGGGTAAAAGATGATTAAGACTGATTGACATGTTCTGTATGAAATCCACAAAAATTCAATTAAAAACAAATTTTTTAAAATTGAAAACCCCCAAAACAACAACAAAAAAGAATGCAGAGGAATGGTTTTATCAGTTAAGAGCACTCTTTCCTCTTACAGAGGACCTATATTTGGTTCCCATTACCCACATGGAGGCTCAACTGTCTGTAACTCCAGCTCTAGGAGGCCTGGCTCCCTCTTCTGGCCTTTGAGGACACCAGGCACACATGTGGTACACATGCATATGTGCAGGCAAAATACTCATACACATAAAATAAATCTGGGACTGGCTCAGCGGTTAAGAGCACTGACTGTTCTTGCAGAAGACCCAAGTTCAAATCCCAGCACCCACATGGCAGGTAACAACCATCTGTAACTCCAGTTCCAGGAGATCCAACGCCCTCTTCTGTCCTCTGTGGGCACTGCATGACATTGGTGCACTAACATGCATGCAGGCAATACACTCATATAAAAAAAAATTAAAAATTTTAAATAAATCTTCTGGGCATGGTGGCACAGGCCTTTAATCCCAGCACTCGGGAGGTAAAAGAAGGCAGATCTCTGTCAGATTGAGGCCAGCCTGGAATGATCTACATAGTGAGTTCCAGGCTAGCTAGGGCTACATATTGAGACCCTATCTCAAAAGTAAACCAAAATAAATAAAATAAAACAATATTTTAAATACAGGAAATATTGTTTTCATAAATGTTTAGAAAAACTACCACAGCACATAATAATTTAATAGATTTATGGAATATAGTGTGTTAATATTGTGTAATTAGATTAAGATAATTAGCTTGCCTTTTACCTAAGATACACATCATTGCTTTGTGGTGAGTATGTTCTTTTAGCTGTTGAGATAGACAGTACATCACTGCAACTACCCTGCTGTACATCAGGACACCAGAACTTTTTACTCCTATTTATCTGCAATATAGTATCCATTGACCAAACTACCTTCTCTGGAATCTGGCAGCTCTCTTTTCTCTATTTCTGTGAGATCAAATAAGATTTCATATATAAGCAGGATCATTCAGTAGTACTTGTTTCTTTACCTGCCTTATTTTACTTAACATAATCTGTACTTCATATTGTCACAAATAACTGATTATTGTATGTTTATATTACATTCTTGCACATTTGCTGAATTTGTTTATTCAAATACTTTTCAGCAGAATGTTTGGGGTTTCCTGTGCATAATGTTATATGATCTACACAGAGTGACAATTGTCCTCCTATCCAATTTAAATGTCTTTTCTCTCCTGCTTGGTTGGGCTATCTTAAGACTTCCAGCTCTATGCTGAATAAAAATGGTAAAGTGAGCATCCTAGGCTTATTTCAGATCTTGGAAAACTCCAATATTTCCTGTTCATTGTCATTGTAGCTGTGAGCTTATTGTATGTCCTTAATTTTATTGCTTTGTGCTCCTTCTATACTTATTGAGATGATCATACTGTTTTTGTCCTTCACTCTGTTAATGTGGTGTATAATGTTTATTGATTCACATATGTTGAACCATCCTTGAAATGACTCCCACTTGGCGGTACTAAGTAATCTTGTACTGGTTTCAGTTTCCTGGAATTGAGTGGGTGAACAAATTTTAGCATCTGTTTTTATCGGGGATTTTGTCCTGTAATATTTGTTGTATTCTAGTTTGGTATTGTTGTATTCTTAGTTTTGGTGTTGGTACTGCTGGTCTTGTGGAATGCATTTAGAAGAATTCCTTCCCCTTCTTGGAATAATTTGAGAATAAATGTTTGGTAGACTTCAGCAGCAAAGCCATTTGGTCCTAGATACTTTATTATTGTCTGTTTAGTTTTTGTTACTTCCTGTTTCAGTCTTAGCAGGATAACTAAGCAGAATGTGGCAAGTGTCTTAGGCCTCAGAGATAAAGAAATGGTATAAAACCAGAAACACCACAGAAGAAAGAGGAGAGATAATTAGTTGACTCTTTTACTTGTAATTAAAAAGGCAGCATCAGGAGAATGTTATTTCCTAAAATGGAGCTGTGGAAGAGAGGAGGATAGAGAAGCAGAAACAAGAAGGTAGCACATTTATCATGATTTGGAATAGGAAAATGACTTGACTGGATGTATCTTCTGAGGTCTGAGAGGGTTAGAGACTCATGTGGAGTTATAATTACAAAAGTAGCCTCAGGACAAAATGTAAACTCACCTAAGTTTTGACGGAACTACAGAGAGAGAATAAGGGATTTTTTTCTAAGTTACAAAAACAAATCTTAGAATTAAGACCAAACTTGTGTTACATCAATAAATACAAGCAAGTTGGTGAGGTAAAAGGTTTCCAGATTAGATAAAAAAGCATAGCCTAACGCCAGGTTATATACAGTAAATACCCAGATTACAAAGATTTAGAGTTAAAAACAAACCAATGGGAAAGGTACAATTGGAAAATACAAGCAAAATGTAGAGGAACAAGAAGCATGGATGGACACAGCCCCTTTGCAGTGCAAACAGGTGATCATTATGGCACAGAAGGGACAGAGGCTGCAGGAGGCACAGGCATCAGTGGGCAGCCCTTCATCTCAGCACCACCAAGACTGGCATCATTAGATTCCATTACAGTGATCATTCTTGGTTTCTAGATTTTCTGCAGTATTTCAGTACTCTTGATCAAAGTACTGCTTGGAAAGATTGAGTGTGGTTGGTCTTTTTAAATTTCATCATGCAAGGGCCTTTTGATTTCTTGATTGCATGCTAGTGACCAGGACCCTCTGTAGCTACCTGCTGAGGTGAGATACAAGGCTGGAAGACAGAGATGCATCTTACAGACCTGGAGTAGAGCCTGGAGGAAGTTAGATTCCCTTGATTAGATTTTTGTGCAGGGCTGCAAAGCAGAGATACTGTTGACTCAGCAGCTGGTATCAGATTCCCCCCAACTATCATAAGTAGATTTGTTTCCCGCAGCTAGAATCAGACTCACTCAGCCACCTAATCTGGAATGCCTCATGTCAGCACATCTTCACACTGTACTCTCAACATGTCACCATAGTGTTTCCATAGCAAATGGACTTGTAGATTGCTTAGTTTTCTTTTCTCTCTCTCCTTTAAGCTGTTGCAGTTAATTGCAAAATCTCAGTTAACTTCATTGAGTGGTGTGGCACAGAAGAATTACTTCAACATTTTGGATAAAATTGTTCAAAAAGGTAAGATTATTATGGGAATTTCTGTTTCATTGCCCTTTTTTATTTTATTGATTTTTTTGAAAGTTTCATATGTGATACTGTATTTACATAATTTCTACCCCTCCTCAACCCCCTCCAACTCTTCCTACACCTCCCCCCACCATTTCCCTCTCAATTTGGTAACCTCTTTAATTTATATTATTACATATATTTCTATACACACACATTTGTGTATATACAACCTACTGAGTTTATTTAGTGGTACTCTTATGTACATGTGTTTAAGGCTTACGAGTTGTGATTGGGTAACCTATCAGGGAGCTCTTCCCTGGAAACACTGTTTCTCTCACTCTCTGAGCAGTTCTTCATCTATCAATAGGTTGTAAAATCTTTATTGATAAATGCATTAGTTGTGATAAATCACCATGATCAAGGCATCTTAGAGAAGGAAAAGTTTATTTGGGCTTGTGGTTCCAGAGGGGTAAGAGTCCATCATGATTGAGAGGCATGGCAGGAGGCCACTGGATCGGAAAACTGAGAAGCTTACATCTTTAAGCGTGCACAAGAGGCAAGGCTATGAACTCTCAAAGCCGACCACCAGTAAAAATCTCCAGCAAAAATCTCCTAAAGATTCCATGACCTTCCCCAAATTGTGTCACCAACTGTGACCATATACCAAGTGTTCAAGTACCTGAACAACAGGATATTTCTCATTCAGACTACCACATTCCACTCCCTGACCCCCATAGGTTCATGGCTATATCATAATGAAAAATGCATTTAGTCCAACTTTAGAAGTCTCCATAATTTTTAACAGTCTCAATGTTGTTCAAAACTTCAAAGTTTCTTCTGAGACAGAAGGCAATATCTTAATTGTAAACCCCTACAAAATCAAAAAGCAAATTATATACTTCCAACATATAATGGCACAGAGCACACATTACCATTACAAAAGGGAGGGATGGGGGCAGAGTGGGGAAATACTGGACCAAAGCAAGACTGGAACCCAGCAGGACAAACACTAAATCCTGTAGCTCTATGTCCAATATCTGGGACTTTAGTTTCTAAGGGCTTAGATGGTTCTGTTTCTCCAGCTGTGCTGCCTGCAACATATATACACCTCTCCCTTGAACTGGTTCTACTCCTAGTATACAGCTCTCCCTGGCAGATGTCTCCTGGCTTTGGTATCACCAACATCCTGGGGTCTCCACTGCAACCAGGGGTTCACCTTCACAACTTCACACAATGACTTCTCAGGGTCTCTTGGCTTGCCAGGCCTTCTTTATGCACAGATTCCCCTCATGCTGCCTGGCCTCAGTGACTGTCTGAAATCATGGACAAGAAGCAGCAGTCCCCTCAGTCTTGCATCTTTGATTCCTCTAAAGCCAGTACCACACAGACAATGCTGACAATATTGGCTACCATCTTGAGGTGGACCTAGGCCCCCTTTGGCCACATTAGTAACAGCTTTTTGTATACTGTGGTTTTCTCAGAGCAGAAAACCCCTTATGCTTTCTCCTTTCACTCTGTAGAAGCCTACCTGGATGGGGTCTTGCCTGGAGGGCACCCTTTCCATTGTTACAGAGCAGGAGGCCTTTCCTTAAGCTAAGCTTAACAATGAGAGCCTCTCTTCCTGCAGGAACCTTGACTGCAACACTAAGCTTCCTAGTGCTCCTTTTCTCTCCAAACCTTTTGTATGTCTTCCTGTTCCCCTTGTTCTTTTCCATTGCACACATCTATGAAATTTACCAGTAATGATGAAGCCACATATTCAGTGTTAGGCTGTCTTAAAATTTCCTCCTCCAAAGAAATTACCCATTAATTTAGCCTCTGTCAAGCTCTAGGACACTGATAGAAGGCAGCTAGTTTCTTAACTAAAATATCACAGAAATGACCTCTAGTCCAGTTCCTGTTTAGGTCCTTGCTTCCCTCTTCCTCTTGAACATCTTGAGCTGGGACTCTTAACTAGAATGATCCATTAAGCTCTGCTTACAACATTCAATAAGTTTTCTAATCCAAATTTCCAAAGTCTTCTACGTTCCTCCGAAAAAAAACATGGTCAGGTTCTTCATAGCAACACCCCACTAGGAACCAACTTCTGTATTAGTTACTTTTCTGATGGCATGATAAAACACATGACCGAGGCACTATTTGGGCTTATGGTTCCAAAGGGAAAGAGTTCATCATGATAGGGGAGGAATGGTGGGATGCAACCAGAGCAGAAAACTGAGAAGCTCACATCTTCAAGCACCCACAGCAAACAGAGAAATGGCAAACTGGAAGTGGGTCAAGGCTATGAATTCTCAAGACTTCCCCCAGTGACAAGCTTCCTCCAGCAAAGCCACACACCCTAAAGGTTCCATGACCTTACCCAAACAGTGCCACCATCTGGGGACCATATACCAAGTATTAAAATACTTGAGCCTATGCAGAGCATTTCTCATTCAAACCAATACAATAAATGATTCAGATAGCATACAATTTGCCCATTTACACAATTCAGAGTTTTTAGTGTATCATATTCCTAGGCTCATGAAGTCATTACTGCTTTTAATTTTAGAATATTTTTGACAGTATATACTGTATTGTGATTGCATTCATCTCCCATTATCCTCAGTCTCTTTGCCACTCCCACTGACCCCTTTGTACCAGCTAGTCCCTCCTCTTGTGCAGGTAACCACAGACTGTGCCTTCATGATTACAATGACCATGACATAACCCAGAAAACAGAGTTTCATAGCCCTCCATCCCATCCTCCAGATTTTATAATCATTCTTCCTCCTCTTCTGAAGCATTCCTTGGGCCTTGGTGGGGGTAATATGAATATCCTGTTTAGTCTTGAGCACTTAATAATCACTTATTCTCTGCACTTTGACCAGTTAAGAGTCTCTGCATTAACTACTGCCCACTGCAAAAATAAGTTTCTCTGAACAAGGCCTAGCACAGCACTAGTCTATGGGTATAAACCTAAATATTTAGAAGGAAGTTTGACAATATGTCCATTTAGCAAAGCAGCAGTAATAGGTTCCCTCCCCACCCTAGAGCCTATGACCTCTCCAGCCATAAGCTTTTCACTAGATTTATAGTACCAGACATGTATTCCCTCATGTGGAGCTTCAAATCCAATCAGAAAGGAGTTGGTTGCTCCCCCAAAATAGTCATGTTATTGTTGCACCAGTATCACTGGAATTTTTTAAGTATAAACCTTAATTGGAAATTTGGTGCTTTTTCTATTACCTTTCCCCAGTATGTTTGCATTCAAAACTAATAATGCAAATACTATGACTTCAGGCTGGAAGATGGATCTTTCCACTGCTCAAGCTTGTGCCTTTGCCATGTGCTTTTGCATACAAAGTGTACATCATGACAGAAAGAGCCAATCCCAGAGAGACCCAGTCCTACAAAACCACTTGATCCTTTTGTGGTTAGTCAGTTCACAGTTCATTCAGCTTTTGGGTTCTAATAGTAAGATTGCAGCTTCTTGACTTAGGCATCATATGTTTGTTTAAATTTGATGAGCTTATCTTTACTAATTAGAGGCTGTTAGTAAAAGGAACTTTAAATTTTATGCCATTAGCTTATACACATATAGGAATTTATGACCATGTGTGAGTCATTTGTGAATATTCTTATGATAAGTACAAAAGAAAACGTACACTGACTACTTTGAAGACAAACTCGTAGACCCAGTGGAAAATTTAGCTAGATGAAAGTTTTAAGTTTTTAAAGCTTTTATTATAGTTGTGATATCTCAAAAATGATGCCAGTTTTGAGTTGCCATGAAATTAGATCCTTGGTTTTTATTGTGATAAAATACATATAAAATTTATTGTTCTCATCATTTTCAGTACTCTTTTTAATAATGATGTTTGCATGTACATCATGAAGTCATTATTGCCATCTCTAGAACTTCTTTATTGTCTATATCTGAAATTATGTACCCATCAAATGATAACTTCCCCTCCCAATCCCCCAGGCCCCTACTCCCACTATTCCATTTGCTGTCTCTGATTCTGACTCTAGGTACTTCATATAAATGGGATTATACTATATCTGCCCTTCTGTAATTGGCTCCCTTCACTTCACACAGCATCTTCAAGGTTCATTCATATGTAGCAGTTCAGAACTTCCTTTGTTTTTAAGGTTGGGCAATTTTCCAATATATGGAGGGATCATATTTTTCTGCTCTTCTGTTGATGGACACTTGGGTTATAACTAGGTAATTTTTAAAAGTAGTATTCACTGTATAAATCTGTGGCTTTGATTTATTTCAGTTCTTCATGACCACCAGAATCCCCGCCTAATCAAAGACCTTCTCCAAGATTTGAGCTCTACGCTTTGCATCCTTGTTAGAGGTGTGGGGAAATCAGTGCTGGTGGGAAACATCAATATTTGGATTTGCCGTTTGGAAACTGTTCTCAACTGGCAACAACAGCTACAGAATCTTCAGATGACTAAGGTATATGTTTCATTTGTAAATATGTTTGTATTTTTAATTGAGGTACAATGTGATACTTTTGTACATGTATGATATGTAATGATCATGTCAGGACAATTAGCATACCCATTATCTTAGGCATTTGTCATGTCCTTATTTGAGAAGCATTCAAACTCCTTACTGTCTGTTTTGAAATAATCAGTTAGTTATTGTTAACCATAAACTACTGGGCTACAGAGCATCAGAAGTTATTCTTTCCATCCATCTGTATCCCTGTACCCATTATCCATCTGTTCTTCACCCTCCTCCCCGTGTCCTTCCCCAGTGCCTGTTAACTACTGTTTCACTCTCTACTGAGACCAGCTTTTTCACTTCTACATGTATCAGAACATGCAGTATTTTTTTTTCTGTACTTGATTTCTTTCACTTAACACAATAACTTCCTGTTCCATTCCAGTTGCTGCAAATGACAGGATTTCATTATTTCTTTGGCTGATAATATTTACATACATATATATATATATATATTATCTTCTTCATTAAGTCATATGTTTTGAGCAAAGTTCTGTTCCTCAGTTATCCTCTCTTGCTCCCCCCTCAACCAAATTACTTCTTCCCAACTCCCCCTCAAATTTTCTTTTTTCTTTCTTTTCTTGTGTGTAGGCTGGCAAAAAGTGCTAATTCAAGCTGGGCATGGTGGCACAGGTCTTTAATCCCTCAGTGGATACTAGGTTGATTCTGTATCTTGGCTACTATGAATGATGCTTCTATAAACATGTGAATGTATGTCTCTTCCACATACTGATTTCAGTTCCTTTGGATGCATATCCAGTAGCAGCATTGCTGGGTTATATGGTAAGTCTAGTTTTTTCAGGAGCCTCCAGACTGTTTTGCATAACATCTCTGCTAACTTATATTTGCACCAACAGTCTATGAGAATCCCCCTTCTCCATCATCACCATTTGTTATTTCCTTGTCATTTTTATAGGTTTGATAATAGCCAGTCTAACTGGCATGAGATGGTATACCTCATTACAGTTTTTATTTTCGTTTCTCTGATGAGTAGTGATGCTGAATATTCTCATGTACTTGTTGAATAGTTACATATAATTTCAAGAAATGTCTGTTCAGTTAATTCGCTCATTTTAAAACAACTGGGACTACAGGGAGACCCTGCCTCAAAAAGACCAAAAAAAAAAATTTGGGTTGGTTGGGTACCTTCATTATTGAGTTGTTTGAATTCCTTGCATACTTGGAAATAAACCCTTGTCAGGTGAACAGCTGACAGTGAGATTGCCCTTCATGCTCTACTTTCCTTTTGTGATACAGAAGGTTTTTTTTTGTTTGATATCAATCAGATATCACATTGTATATCATAAATATGTGTAAAATTGTCAATGAAGAGAAAATTTTAATTTAAAAATAGATATAAATAAAGCTGGAGAGCCCTTATAGACCCCATGTCTGTCCTTGGTTGAAGTATCCAGCAGCATAGTATGGACCTGCAGCTTATGTGCTAGCCAACAGCACCTTACTTGTCCTTTTGATGCATATCTCTGTTGTCCTCATGAAGTATAGTTAATTCCATCAGCAGTTCCACATTTTAGACTCACCATTTTCCAGCTGTTTTTCTAGTTGTGGTAGCACGGGGGCATGTCCAGGGGTGCAGTCTCCGGAGCACAGACAAGTTGACATGTGCCATGCCTTTTGAGACCACAGTGCACAATAGTGAAGTACAAGTAAAGCAGCCATTAAAGGGAAGAGCGTCTTTCCGATAGTCAGACTTTGAAGTTGTCTTTCCCAACATGGCCATTAATTTCTGTTGAATGAAGTCGCACTGTGTTTTCTCCATTTGACACCATTGTGTTTTCTTTCAGCAGGTGAACACTGGCCTCACACTCAGTGACCTGCCCTTGCACATGCTGAACAACATCTTATACCGCTTCTCAGATGGGTGGGACATTGTCACCCTGGGCCAGGTGACACCTACCTTGTACATGCTCAGTGAAGATAGGCGGCTGTGGAAGAAACTATGTCAGTACCACTTTGCTGAGAAGCAGGTGTGTATGATGTAGCAATCTTGGATCCAGAGTTGGTTGGTCTCATCCAAGGTCCGTTGTGTTCAAATGAACGTGGAGAGGTTGCGAACTCCATCTACAGATGCTTGGGAGTAATTGTAGTATGCTGGGGTTCCATCTGAACTCTCTTCTATCAATTACAATGTTCATTTTTCATATTGAAAAGGAATCGTGGTTCTAAAAGAGGCCTAGAAGCATATAACATAGCCAGAGCTGAACTATGTCACACCTGCTGATGAAAGGTCATGGAGTTCTCTTTACTTAATAAGATATATTCTAGTTCTGCCTCTTGTCGGCCTGTTGTCCTAGAAGAGTAAACAGATTCTTATATCTTGGGTGACCCCCCAGTTCGTGGCACCATCTCAAGGTCCTCAGGAACACATCTGTCCTGCTAGTTGGCTCTCTCCTCTAAGGTGAAGTCCTGTGGTTCCTGATTGCCCTCCGCTGCAGAGCCAAAGGCATCCCTGGCTTAATTGCACACCAGGGTGTCCACTATATACAGGGATAGGAAGAGGCAGGTGACATGCCATACATGTTGCAGATATAGCTGAGGTTTATGAGCACTATAGGGGTAGAATTGTGGCAGCTTCATGGCAAACTCATGGAGGGATAAAGAGCAGGCCACTTTGAAGAAAGGATCAAGAGTCAGAGCCACACCCAAAATCCTATCAGCTAGCTTAGAAAATCTACTGAAATATCTGGAACACAGGACAACTTTTAAATTACCCTCTGGATCTTGCTTGAGAAACAGGCTAATGTAGGCATTAGGAAACTTGTTGAAAAACTAATCCAGAAAAGAGAAAGTGGTGGTTGGGGAAATGTACAAGTTCAGCCAAGAAGACCCTGAGGATAGTTCCAGGACCCCAGGAGAGGCAGCTAGATCTGCCCAGGGGAGGTCTGAGCAGGAGAGGCCTAGGCAAAGCTCAAAGGAAATGCCTACAGGAATCCAGAGTAGATGTAAGAGCACTCAGGAAATACTGGATCTTCAGAAATTAACAGTCCAGTAAGAAAGATGGATGAGAAGGACAACTAGTGCATTGGATGGGACTTTGATGAGACTGAGGACTGAGAACTGAAACTAGGTGGGCTTCTTTGGGAGAAGCAAGACAATTGGCCTAGTCCTCATAGCAAGAGGAAACTAGACACTACATACCTGGATCATGAGCCTTTCTGTCTCTGTCATTCCTCCTGTACTCCTTTCCTGGCCTCTGATATCCACTGTTCTGCTCTCTCCTCTTTGAGATCAACTGAATTCAATTAAAGTTGGCATCAGAAATTGGGGAGAAGTTGAGTAATCTTCTGGATGGAAGATTTAGAACCATGGACAAGAGGGTAAATGAAAGTATGTCTGGGGTGAGCCTTGGGCATCCCACAGTTGCCCTGGGACCTACTTCCAAGGAGACCCAAGGGAAAAGAGCCAGGGCTCAACAACTACATCCTCAGCTTAGGCTGGGCTGGGTGTGAGGTGCTTGTCAGAATGCCTAGCAGGTATTTAGATATCCAGATATCAAACATGACCTTCAGGCTATCTGCTGATCATCTATGAGTCCTTGAAGGTCCTTGAAGAAACACTTTTAGGAGGTTAAATGTCTACACCAATATTTACTGTTCTACAAGAAGTTAGGTTGAATTTGCAATTCCACCTACATGTGTATCTTTTGGTACATACTTTCTTGATTGAACCACAAAATCGAATCCAAAAGATGTAATTACCAGTTTTTCAGGTTTAAGTGACTCTCATTAGAATCCTGATTTCTCAGAGTTAGAGTTCAGATTAGAGATAGGGTCAAAAAATATAGGTTAAGAAGCTGAGGGCTGTGCAGATCTTGGATTGATAGTCCAAAGTGACATCAGACGTCTTTGACCTGGGCATCGCTTGGATATGGGACCCAAGAATCAAAAATTACAGAGGTGCTTATGTAGAAGAATAATGTCTAGGAGTGTGAGTAGTCCTCCTGTGACCATTGGTGAGGCATGGGATTAATGAGGAGAAAAGAGGAAACAAGGCAAAGTTATTTTTGTCTTTAGAAAATAATGTTTCCATAAATTTAAAGAATACAAAAGCTGCTATAGCGTGGCCTGTAATTGGTCCCCTTTGCTGTCTTTTCAAATTGTATTAAAAACAAGATTCCCTCATTGGTTCCATTATAATTTACAAACACGGTCTTCAAAAAGTATGGCTGATTGTAAATATTTTATACAAATGATTATTTTCAGTTATAAAAAGCAAGCCATGGGGCTGGAGAGATGGCTCAGCGGTTAAGAACACTGGTTGTTCTTGCAGAAGACCTGGGTTTGAATCCCAGCACCTACATGACAGCTAACAGCTGTCCGTAATTCCAGTCCCAGGGGATCCTATAGCCTCTTCTGACCTCCACAGGCACTGCACGACACAGATGCACTTACCTACATGCAGACAATACACACATACACGTAAAATAAAAATAAGTTAAAAAATTTAAAAAAAAAAGCAAACCACTCAATACAGCAGTAAACCCAGATGAAGGCATCTTTTGTTAAGCAAACAAGGAGAGTCTATCAGCCTCCTACCCACACAACAGTCTGTGTACACAGCACATATATAAAATTGATCCAACCATATGCTTTATTTTCTTATGACCAAATAGTGTTCCTCCAAGATTTTTTGGTAACATATTTATTAAGATACTATCCGCTTTGTATAGTGGTCACTGTAGTTGGTTTTAGGACAGTTGTCAACACAGAAGAGGCCCTGTACCCTTCAGCTGCCATCCTAACCCTATTCCAGTCCTAAGCAACCTTTCCTCCACTTTCTAACTCTAGATTTACCTGTTCTAGATGTTTGATATAAGGGGAATATACACTGCTTGAGCTTTTGTTACTGATGTCTTTGCTCTCATCAGAATGACCTTTGGAATGCAGGTGGTATTATAAATCAGACTTTCATTCCTTCAGGCACTAAATAAGATTCCATTCTTTGGACACACCATGTTTTGTTTACCCAGTCATCTGGTCATGGATACTGATTTCCTTCTCACTTGTGGCTCTGGGGATTATTGCTGCTGTTGCCATCCATTGATGAATTTATATGTGGACATGTTTTCGTTTCTCTAAGGTAATATCCTAGGCATGGAATTATAGGTCAGATGGTAACTGTTTGATCTTTGGAGAAATAGCACTGTTTTCCACAGTGGCTGTACCATTTTACACTCCTGCCAGCAATATACCAGGTGTCTGGTACTTCACACCTTCCCCAGCACTTTCAGTTGCCTGATTTTCTAATTATAGCCATCCCAATGGGCATGAGGTGGTAGATCCTTCTACTTTAGGTGGTCAATCCTTCTACTTTAGGTGGTCAACATCTCTTCCTGAGGACATTGACCATTTTTGTGTCTTACTAGAAGAAATGCCTTTTCAAATCCATTGTTCATTTTCAAGTTGAGTAGTAGTGTTCTTTGTATATCCTATGTACAAGTCTCTTATCAAATATACGACACCTTCAACTATCCCAGACCTCATTCCAGGGCTGTTTTCTATCTGTCTCTCAGCTGCTTGGTGTCACTGTATAAAAACAAACTTGCTTGACTTGTCCCTCATTGTATTAGTCACTGTTCTGTTGCTGTGACAGAAACACTGACCAAAGCTATTTACAGAAGGAAGAGTCCATTTGAGTTCACGGTTCCAGGGGAATTACAGTCCACCATGGCAGGGAGGCATGGTGGCTGGAGGAAGCTGGAGGAGAAGCAGAAGCTAAGCGCCCATATCATCACACAGGCACAGGAAGCAAGAGAGCAACTGGAGATCTGGCAAGGCTTAAGAACTCTCTCAGCCCACCCCCAGTGACGTGCTTCCTCCAGGATAGCCACACCTTCTAAAACCTCCCAAAACAGTGCCATCATCTGGGGGAAAAATGTCCAAGCACTTGGAGTCTATGGGGGGACATTTTCATTCAAACCACCACATTCCACCCTGGCCCTCATAGGCTCATGACCATGTAAAATGCAAAATGCATTTAGTCCAACTTTAAAAGTCCCCATAGTCATTATCAGTCTCAATACTGTTTAAAAGTTCACAGTCCAAAGTCTCTTCTGAGACTCAGGTAAATAACTGTAAGCCTCTATAAAATCAAAAGACAAATTACTTACTCCCAACGTACAGTGGAACCAAATATACATTACCATTCCAAAAGGGAGGAATGGAGGCACAGTGAGGAAATACCAGACCAAAACAAGACTGAAAACCAGCAGAGCAAACACCAAATGCAGTAGCTCCATATTTGACTTCTGGGACTTCCAAAGGGCTTAGATGGCTCAGCCTCTCCAGCTTTGCTGTGTGCAACACACATCTCTCTCTTGGGTTGCTACCACTCCCTGTATGCAGGTCTTCTTGGCAGATGCCTCATAGCTCTGGCATCATGAACATCTTTGGAGTCTCCATTGCCAACCAGGCTTCACCTTCATAGCTTCACACAATGGCCTGTCAGAGCCTTCTGCAGGCAGGAGAACCCCTGGTTCATGCTTCCTGGCCTCCAAGGCTCTCTGAAACTGTGGAGGAAGAACTAATGACCCCTTCACTCTTCCATCTTTCATGCCTCTAAAGCCAGCAGTGCTTGAAGGGCACTGACAAGTTTGACTGCAAGTTGTGGTGGACTCCAGCCTGCTTTATCCATTTTAGAAACTCTTTTCTTCAGCGGCCCCTGCAGTTTTCCTTTCACAAGTTGGAAGCTTAACTGGGTGTGGTCTTGCCCTGGAGGCACTCTTTGCATTGTTTAAGTTTGAATCTCTAGGCGCCTCCCTAATCACTTTAATCTCCTTATCAATGGGATCCTCTCGTGCCAGGGCTCCAAGATTTATCTTCCTAGTGCTCTTTTTCAATTCAAACTGTATTTTTTTTCTGCCCCATTTGCTCTCTTTCACTGTAGATCTGCATAATATTCACCATTAATAGCCATGCCACTGTTCCTACATTAGGCTGTCTTGAAATTTCTTCTGCCAGAGAAACTGGTCCATTGCTTTTCAACTTAGCCTTAGGCAAGCTTTTTGGTCTAGGGCAGACTCCAGCCAGACTTTTTGCCAAAATAGCCCAAGTGCTGCTTAAGTCCTTATTTCCCTCTGAAACTACATTGTTCTAAACACTACTTTCTTCCAGGTGCCTACTAGAATGGCCTGCTAAGCTCTGCTTATGGCAGTCAACCACTTTTCTAGCCCAACCTTCCAAAGTCTTGCACATTTCTTCAAAACCCCACATGGTCAGGTTCTACACAGCCAACAGCCCACTCTCTGGTACCAATTCCTGTATTAGTCACTTTTCTGTTGCTGTGATAGAAACACTGACCAAAGCAACTTATAGAAGGAAGAGTTTATTTGAACTTATGGTTCCAGGGGAATTACAGTACATCATGGCAGGAGGGCATGGTGGCTGGAGGTGGCTGGAGCAGGAGAAGCAGAAGCTAAGCTCTCACATCATCATGCAGGCACAGGAAGCAAGAGAGCAGCTGGAGATCCAACAAGGCTTAAGAACTCTCTAAAGCCCGCCCCCAGTGACTTGCTTCCTCCAGGATGGCCACACCTTCTTAAACCTTCCAAAACAGTGCCACCACCTGAGAACAAAATGTCCAAATACTTGGAACCTATGGGGGAAATTTTTATTCAAACCACCACACTCATTGATTTAACTCAAGTCTTAAGTTTGACTTCAGATAATAAAATGTTTCATGCACTTCATTGTCTTTTCAAAATATAGCTAAGCATATTTTGAAAATCATCTACTGTTTCTGAACAGAATTTTCTTTTAGTTTTGTAGACATCTGATTCTTTCAGAAAAAGGTCATATCGAATGGAAGTTGATGTATTTTACACTTCAGAAATATTATCCAACTAAAGAACAGTATGGAGATACTTTACATTTCTGTCGACACTGCAGCATTCTCTTTTGGAAGGTAATGATTTAAAATGTACTCTTGGGATTTGAGGGTTGGAATTCAGTGAAATAAACTATTCATCTATATTTTAAATAGAAAAGTGAGAGGAGGATGGAAAATACTGTTTGTGATAGCGATGTTATTTAAATATATCTGCCAGATACTGGGGAGGGAAACCAGGGGAGGCCCATAAAAATGTACACTTGTATTCTAAATTAGCTTTGTTGAAAACTGAAGTGCCATGCACCTCAGAGTGGGGGACATTCTTCTCCTTGCTGCAGAGGTGGGTCTAGGGTTACAATTGGATTAGATGAAGCTCCTGAGCATCCAGTCCTGAGCAAGGCTTTGGGTGCCTCACCTCTAACCTGAGGAAGAATCCTGAACTTGTCTGCCTCTCAGTGCATCTAGAAGACAGGCCCACTGTCTCCAGGAGGTCAGAACCAGCCTCATGCTTCTCTCAAAGCAAAGTTCTTAGGGGAATGGTGCCATAAGGAAACACAAGTTTGAAAGCAAACTTGCTTTTTCTCACTTCGATTATTAAAACTTACAAAACTATCATTACTTACCTGCAAGACTGATCCCTTAGTGAAAACTTGTGTTCTTATCAGCAGATTTCCATATTCAAATAGTAAATTGGGAGTCCTTCACCCTGTCACTGCCTATTCTTTGGAATCTCACTGCCCATACTGTGTTTCTGGTAATATTGACTTGTTGCCCATAACCAGAAGAGAGCCCTTTGTATCTTTTCTTTTGCCTGGTAGCCACAATAACGTGTTTAGATTGTTTTACTTTACACCTATCTAAATTTGTTGTCAGATGGGTCACAAGACAAGTTCAAAATTGTTGGCAGTAATAAATAAAATGCTTTAAAAGTGTGGGGAGCTGCTGGAGTGATGGCTGGCTCAGTGGTTAAAAACACTGCCTGGTCTTTCCTGGGTTCAGTTCCCAGCACTCATATGGCAGCTAACAACCATCTGTAATTCTGGTTTCAGGGGATCCAACACCTGCTTCTGACCTCCATGGGCATTGCATAGTGTGGGTGCACCTACCTACATGCAGTCAATACCGTCATACACATAAAATAAAAATAATAAATAAAATATTTAAATTGTTGGCGGAAGGACAACTATTTTTAATTTAAAACTCCATGTATAATAACATGACATTTTTTATTACAGTGATCCACAGCTGAGCAGAGAACTAAAATTGCTCAGTTGTCATATTATTTTAACAGGCTTCTTAGTAATAGTTGCTGATCCTTCCAGCAAGAATAGTTTAGAAGGGTTTTTCATTTCTGATCTTAATTCCTCTCTCTCAAAATTAAAAAAAAAAAAAAAAAAAAAACACCAGTGTTTGAAAAGCTTTGCCGGACAGCTATTTTCTAGAATACTTTCTCTTAAGAACAGGGTCATCTTATGTCCAGATTTGTCCTTGCTGAGGCTATGCATACAAGAAATAGCCCTCTACTGTACCCTCTATCCCTAGTCATGGAGCATAAAGTGGGCAGATGCCTGTAGAAAGAAAGGGCCCCACATTGATACCCGAACCCAGCAAGATCCTAGCTGATCTCTATAGCTCCTTCCAGGATTCCCATCTCGTATCTCTGAATCATTCATACTCTGAGAACACAAGGACCTTTCTCTGGCACAGTCAGAGAAGGTGAGACTTATAATGTCCAGTTTGAATTGGGCTTCTCTTAGGAATTTTCTGTAGAAATATTAAAAGTGTGGATAAATTCATGGGATTGAAGACTTTTCAGTTTTGTATGAGATAGTGTTTTTCTTGGAACAATTTCTAAGAATGGCAGTTTCCTTATCTGCTAAAGAAAACAGCACAAAGAAACATGTTTATATTCTCTAGTTTCTGTGTTGTTTGGTGATATAAGAATGTGCTGTTTAAATTTCCTAAAATATGTAAGTTCTGATTATTTTTAATTGAAAGATGATTTTTAGTTTTCCAAAGAATTGGCCTGCAAATTTCTATATTTAGTATCCTTTCCTACCATAGTGATCACATTTGAAAAGTCATACTCCTGTTGGTCTTTACTTTTTTACCCAGAGAGTGGGCAGTGCCATACCTGGCAAGGTGTCCCAGGCCCCAGGGAGTCAGCCCAGTACAACTTCCCCAACCACCACCCTTCCAGAGTCCCTGCTCTGTTGAGATTCTGTTTCTGAACATAAACTTGAAACTATGAGGAAGACCACTCTTCCTTCTTAATCCCTGAAGCTGTCAGGTACTTCCCTCTTCTGCAGTTTGCCTTGCCACTGTCCAGAAGAGGCAACCTTCTGGGTAGAGCATAGTCAAGCAGGCCCAGGTGGTTTCCTCTACGCTACTAGTGTAGCTACATGCAGCCCAGGTGGTGGAAATGTGATGCAGCTCTGAAAATGGTGCCTAATGTTGGGTATACCTCAGCTCCCTGGGAAGTACTATTTACCAAGACACTCAGGGAAACTCGCCTGTTAGGAATTGTGGGAGACAGGTAGCTAGTCTTCATCTGGCCCCATGTGGTTAGTCAGGAGCCACATCATGACTGGCCCCCATTTTGGCTTGTGCCTGGTGTGTTCCCAGTTCCACAGTCCCTGTGGGGTTCCTGAACCTGCTCCCAAAGTGTTTATCCATCTGCCCTAGTTCCACTGTATTTGAGTGATTCTTGTTAATTTTTCCAGGAAGACTCAAGGCCTAGTCAGTTTGTTCCCTTCCAAGTTATCAGCATGCTGAGAAGGCCAGAGTCATTGTGTGCATGTTTACATCCCTACTCAGTATCTTGACTCTGTAAAACCTATCAGAAATTGTGGGCTCATAGAGTGGGTTAGGAAAGCCAGGATGGAGATTTGCCTTTTCCGTTCTCCTTTCTTCTCTCAATGTATCAGTAGCAAGAAGAGTGCTGGACACCTAGCAATGATCTTGAGGCCTGTGTAGGCATCAGGAGTAAGGCTGTGGCCTAAACCAGTGATGAAGCAGAGATCCCAGACCCTCTCTAGCTGCTTGGTCCTTGTGAACTGTCAGACAAACATCTGAAATGTCACCCCATTTCTGAGCAGAGGAGGACAGAAACCCTCCAGTTGCGGGTCGTAGTGTAAGCACAGAGGCAGCAACTAGTGCAGAACTGCTGATCATGCAGAAGCAACAACATATGTTGGTGTACCCCCAAGAAATTAGGTGTCAGATCAGGGCTGGATGCAGGACTGTGGGGTACATGTGGGTTCCAGTTAGCCACATTGTTAAGCACAGATTAGTCCCTCGGAACAAGAAAAAGATGAGGCACTCCCCTGGCCAAAAAAACTAAAAGTGTTACTTTTTTCATAGAAATAGTTAAGTGGTATGGCCTCCTGAGTTGTTAGAGAGTTACAAGGAAATAGAACCATTTCCTCCATGTTAAGGGAATGCCTTTTTTTTTCCTTTTAAGAGAAAATCTCACTGTGTAGCCCTTGCTGTATAGGAATTGGCTATGTAGAATAAGCTGGCCTCAACTCACAGAGATCCACCTGCTTCTGCCTCCTGGTTTGAGTGTTGGGATTAAAGGTGTGTGCCTTCACACCCAGCTTTGCCCTAGGCTGTCTTTAAGTTGTATAAGATTTGGAATGTCTACTGGTTGTCTTTTCATAATTTGTATTACCCAAACTTAGTTACACAGTTTTAGTTATTTCTGTAAATATATGCTTCAAACCTAAATGCTTAATTACATCTGGCTCTGTCTAACCCTAACTTTTCTTTTTTTGTCCCTTTGCTGCTTCCTTTGCTGACTCTTTTCTTCATGATCGCAAAGGACTACCATCTTGCTTGGTTATTCAAGGTACTTCATGTGGCTGTGTGCTGTTCCAACTCATACATTGTCCTTGCCCTACCAGGTGACAACTTTGATAAGGTTCAGCTCTTGTTAACAATTGTATACTTGTCCCAGAAAACTTACTGAAGAGCCAGCCATGCACCTCAGGGTGGTCTGCTGGAGGCTACACAAACAGCTCCAACCACACTGAGCCTTTCAAGATGGTGTCAGTTTTCTTCTGCAAATCTTACTTTTCTCCTAACCCTTCTGCTAAGAGTAATTATAACTCCTTGGTTGTGAGCACTGCCAGTTTTTCACACCTCTTGAGACAGTGCTTGTGATGTCCCATCTGGAGACCCTTTGCCAACTTCCCAGGATTGTAAGGTGTAGAAGGAACCAGGAGGTAGGATATGGAGGGGTGGGCCAGGAAGAGGCAGAAATTTGCAGCTTCCACATTTCGCAGAGTGACTCCAGAGATGAAACATTACCAATTAGAAATCCCCTGAATCTAACTAACCTACTGATTCCCAGCTGAGTTAGTTGTGTAGCACTGAAGTGGGATTGGGATCCAGTTGACCAAATGCAGATGTCACTGTAAAAGTGTGATGATGTGTCCTAACTTCTTTTTCTCTCTCTGCAGGACTCAGGACACCCCTGCACTGCAGCCAACCCTGACAGCTGCTTTACACCTGTGTCCCCACAGCACTTCATTGACCTCTTCAAGTTTTAATGGTGCCCTCAACCCTGTGCCCCTGTCTACAGTTGTCCCTTGTGCTTTCTGTGCATTCTGTAGTTGGTGTAAGTGTTCTCTGATGCAAAGTAATGACAGGGTCAGCGACTGGCGGTCTCTGAGGCCCTTGCTTCCAGGAAGAATCAGAAAAGATGTGGAAGATGTTCTGACAGCTGTACAGCATCATTGGAAGAGCAGAGACCCTAAAACCATTTGTACTTATTTCTTTGAAATCCTTCTAAACATAGAAAATTTGCAATTTTGTATATTTATAAATATGGATAAAAAAGGTTTGGGATTTTCAGCCCCACATTCTGTGCTGAACTGACATGAACAACCAAGAATGTGCTTCTTAGTTGTGAAATTATGGTTTCCCATCTTATAATAATTGGGATGGAGGACAAAACAATTGATCCTTGTAAATACATTCTGCAGAATATTTATTTTTCTTAAAATGTATTTTCACAACCTCGGTGGCTGTGCCCAAATGACTCCTCTTTGTATAAAAGATAAATCTAGGGACATGCTTGGCATACTCCATCCTACTATTCTGGATTGGACTGTGAACTGTGTGTACTGTCCATAGCCCAGCAACACTTGTCTCTGTGTTCCTGGAATTCCTGTCATTGAGGCCATCTTATGTCTATACCTAGGATGTAGGCTCAAAACCAGAATAGAGCCTCTGCCTAGGAGCCAGAAACAGCCTGAAGAGGCCTAAACCTTGACTTGTGTAGAAATTACTTCCACAGGCAAAGTAATAAACCATGTTTATCTACTGATTCAGCTTCATCAAACTTGCATATAACTGGAAAGTGTGGTGTTGAGTCTTTAAAAGATAGTTTTATTTTTAAAACAATGCATGTGTACTTTAGACATTTTGAAAATAAAGGTATATGAAAAAAATTATATAATTCTGCCTAAAACAGATAACTCTGCTAAAGAATATGAAAAGTTACTTCTCAGCAGCGATGATGGCAATGAATTTCTGTATTCTGTCTTTGAGTCAGGAGACCCAAGTTCACCATTTCTTTAAACTTTCTAAGTATATTAAAATTTGTAACTGCATATTTATAAATATGGATTGAAATGTTTCAATTTCCAGCCTCTTGCTCTGTGCTGAACTGACATAACAGACAAAAACAGCATCCTATTGTCAGCTTAGTTTCTCTGACACAATACAGGTACCTGGCCTCGCGCACATTAGAGTCACAGTTTTCTTAAAACCATAAGCATCTTGTCTGCCATTTATAACCAGAAACACCCAATACTGTCTGAGAACATGGTTTTCATGACTTATAGCACTACACAGAAAGTGCAACTTTTGCAGGGCAGGTGGATTACTCCTACTTTCCTGTGACCAGCAGCAATTGAATTCATCTTGTACCAAACGACGTAGAGTCAAGCTAGCAAGGCACACTTTTTCACAGTTATTTCCAGATTGCTTCAGGCTTTTTGAAGGTGAATACTGAGTATCCATTTCTGTGGCACAGATACCTCCCCGTTGGTGCCTTTTTAAATGAAGACGTGGACCTGAGGTTTATTGTAAGGTTGAACATGTCTTCTGTGTACTTCTTAGCCGTGTTGCATGTCCTCTGCTTTCTTTTGGGAACTTAACCTTTTTTCATGTTAATTTCTTCAAGAGGTGAATTATTAGTTACTTTTCTCATTACTCTGGCTAAATACCTGGCAAGCAACGTAAGGGAGGAAGGATTTATTTGGGCTTGTAGTTTGAGGGGATACAACCCATTGAGGCCCAGGAGGTCACATATCCATAGTCAGGAAGCAGAGAGATGAATTCTGGTGCTCTTCTTGCTTTCTCTCTTCTGTGGTCTGGGACCACAGTTCATGAAATGGTGCAGCCCATGCGTCTTCCCACCTCAACTCAATCAAAACCTACCCTAGATAAAGTTAATTATTAACCATCACGAGAAAACATTAGCCACATGAAAGTTGAATGTCCCTCCTCTCCCTCCCACAGTGGTCATAACCTTTTAATCTAATGCAGTTTGATTGTGTTGTGCAATGACACATCCTGCGTTTAACTTGTATTCACCAAGAAATTCCTCTCAGCTGAAAGTAATGGTACTAGAAATTCAAGATTGGAACTTAATGGGTAACATGTCAGATCAGGTTTTACCACTGAGACAGTGGAAGAAAACAGTCAAGGAAAGACACAAGCTCTCTTCCTGCAAGAGACAAAAATCCATGAATGAACTTAGTAAGCCAAAAGAGATCTCTAAAGAGAAAAAGGTACTGGAAGCTGAAAAATGGACCCAGCCTTAAATCCTCTTGAATCAGCAGCACATGGGCTGAAGCAAGCTGCCTAGAGAACATAGAAACTGCACTGGGAAGTGTTGTTCCTCACATTGAACCTGCATTAGAAAAGGCCACCTTTGCTCCACACACCAGAACTGAATAAGACAGGAAGGCTGCAGAAACCAATGACTCCCCAATCCCCACTCCTGTCCCCAGTACAAAACAATGTCTGCCAGACCCAATGGGATCTGAGAACTTTAATTTCTTATTTTCTATTATTTAGCTTCCATTCTTACATATATGTCTTAGGATGGTTTTAGGATTATTGTGTATGTTTATCCACTCAGTCTACTTATCAGACACTCTACTTTTCACTCACATCTTATATACTTCCTTACTTATTTCTATGTCTTTCCCTCTTTGTCTCAACATTATCCCCTCCTTTTACTTTTTTAAAAGATTTATTTTTATTTTATGTGTATGAATGTATTGCCTGCATGTGTGTTAGTACATCCATGTCATGCAATGTCTGCAGTGGTCAAAAGACGGTGTCGGATCCCCTGGAACTGGAATTGTTAGCTCTGGTGTTGTTAATTGTTAGCCCAGGTCCTCTACAAGAGCAGTCAGTGCTCCTAACTGCTGAGCCATCTCTTCAGCCCCCTCCTTTTACTTCTTAACTATAATCTTTCATAGATTTAATAGTCTCTAAAATCTGTAGACTCTTAGCTGTATCCTAACTTTCCCGGACTCTTGCCTACTTTTCTCACTTTTTTTTCTCATCAAAATCAATCTAACACGCCTATCTTTACCCACTCCACTTCCTTCCCACACCCAATCTGAGTAACTACAATCTGAGTATACAGCATACTGTCCTTATTTGTTTATCCAACAGTTATTGTTGTCAAAGGGGCCGATTTTAACTAGTATAGCATTTGCATATTGGGAATATCCAGCTACTATGGTTGCTTTCACAGTTAATATTTCTACTCGGAATAATATAGAAGTATGAGGCACCCTGAACTCTTGGACTGAGGACTATTTTCTGAACTACATACATCAACTCTACCACATCCAAGTCCCATTTGAATATTGCAAATACTTCAACTGAAAGAATATAGCTGATAAAAAAGGAAACAATAAAATAACCTCCGAAGTGTAAATTCCAATGCAGTGATACAAGAAACATGAAGAACCAAGGCAACATAATTCCATCTAAAATTACTAATCCTATCATAATGGCATCCAGTGAGAGTGAGTTAGATGAAATCCCAGACAAAGAACTTGAAAGAATGATTATGTTCAAAGAAATCAAAGAAGAAAAAATGTCAGACTGTTTCAGTATGTGACTCTGGTTGGATTGGAACATACTATGTAGACCAGACTGGCCTCAAACTCAGAAATCCACTTGCCTCTGCTTCATGTGTGCTGAGATTAAAGGCATGAGCCACCATACTCAGCAAAAATAAGCTTCTAATATAAAACACAACAGCTGACTAGAATAAGAAAGTTGATGCAAGATGAATTCAATAAAAAGGAAGATAAAGAAAATTTTATCTGAAATGCTGGAAAGGAAAATAAGAATTTCTGTGGGAAATTTCACCAATGGCATGGATCAAGGATGGAACAGACTATCAGCATAAAGACAAGGTGGAGGAACTAGAACAATGCAGCCAGGACAAAGGTAAGATACACATGGGAATGCCAGGATGAATGCACACAGCACTATGAAAAGGCCAGATTTACAGTTTATGAATGCACAAGAAATCTCATGCTGAAAGCACAGAGCATTTGCAAAAGAAAACAATTTGTCAGAGTTAGGGGAAAAATATGCCAATCTAGACAAAGAGGCATTTAGGACACTGAACAGACCAGGGGGGTGGGGGTGGTAACCTCTCTTTGTCATTATAATTAAAATTCTAAATATACAGGACAAAGAAAATGTACTGAAGGTGATAAAAGAGAACAAGTCACACATAAGCCCATCAGAATAACAGAGACTTGTTGATTGAAATTTTAAAAGCCAGGATGGCCTGAAAGGATATATTTCAATTTCTGAAAGACAACTGCCAACCTAGACTACCCAGCAAAAATATCTGTCATAATTAAAGGAGAAAAAACTTTCCGGGCTGGAGAGATGGCTCAGTGGTTAAGAACATTGACTATCTGGCAGAAAACACGGGTTCGAATCCCAGCACCCACATGGCAGCTAACAACTGTCTGTAACTCCAGTTCCAGGAGGTCTGACAGCCTCTTCTGTCCTCCACAGGCATTGCACGACTCGGGTGCACTTACCTACATGCAGGCATAACACTCATACACATAAAACAATAAATAAAATATTTTTAAAAACTTTCCATGATAAAAGTGGGCTAAAGAACTTTATGACTACTAAGACAGCTCTATAGAACATACTTGAAGGACTGAAGTAAAAAATCTATCCACAAGGCCATAGGTAGGAATAAGCCATTCTAAAATAATAGTTGAAAAGGAAAAAAAAAAACAAAACACCACAAAATCAACAAAATGACAGTAATTGATACACACCTTTCAGTAATAACTGAATAAAATGGTCTCAATTCCCCCATCAGAAGACACAAGCTAGCAGGTGACATAAAAAAACAGGAACCATCTCTTTGTTGCCTCCAAGAAATGTACTCACCATAAATGACAAACACTATCTTAAGGTGAAAGGATAGAAGATATTCCAAGCAAATGGAAGTAGGAAACAACAGACGTAACTGTTCTAATATCTGAAAAAAATAGATTTAAACCAAAACTAGTGAGAAAAGATGAAGAAGGTCACTTCATACTGATTAAAGGAACAATCCACTGAGAGAACATTACTATTCTAAACAAATACTCCTTGAACACAGGTATACCCATTTTCATAAAAAAAAATACTACATATGAAATCATGAATTAACCCCAGGACAATAGTAGCTGATGATTTCAATACTCATTCTCACTAACTGACAGGCCATCCTAACAAAAAGTAAACAGATACATCTGAATTAATTGACATCATAGATCAAACGAACATAACAGACATATACAAAACATTTTACCCATAGACTGAAGACTACACATTCTTCTCAGCAACCCATGTAACTTTCTCTAAAATAGATCATATATTAAGACACCAAACAAGTTTTAACAAATATAGGAAAAATGAAATAATTCATTGTATTCTATCTAATCACAATAGAATAAAATGCATCAATAGCAAGAGAAACCCTAAAACATACACAAACTTCAGAGTAGTTAAACAACACATTATTGAATGATGGATGGGTCTTTGAAGAAACAAATAAGGGAATAAAATATTCCTAGAATCAAAAGAAAGTGAAAACAACATACCGAAACCTCTGGAATATAGTGAAAGTAATTCTAAGAGGAACACTTACAGCTCTGAGTGCCTACATTAAGAAGTCAGAGGGGCTGAAGAAATGGCTCAGCAGTTAAGAGCACTGACTGCTCTTGCTGAAGACCTGGGTTCAATTCCCAGAACCCATATGGTGGTTAACAACCATCTGTAGCTCCAGTTCCAGAGGATTGGATGCTGCCTTCTGACCTCCGCAGTCATTGCACAACATGGGTGCACTTACACAGGCAATACACTCATACACATAAAAATAAAAATAATAAATAAAATTTAAAAAAAGAAATCAGAAAGAGCTCAGATAATTTAATGATGGCCATAGGAGCTTGGAAAAAGAAGAACAATCCACCCCAAATCAATAGGCAGAAATATTAAGATCAGGGCAGAACCTAATGAAATGGAAAGAGAATAGTACAAAGAATCAACAA